TTCACCATATTAGTCAGGAGTTCACTTGAACTCCTGACCTCAAGTGATCCACTCGCCTCAGCCTCCCAAACTGCTAGGATTACAGGTATGAGCCACTGTGCCCGGGCAGAATATTTTTTTTCCATATGGGTATTTAATTCAGCAGCACCATTTATTTTAACAATCGTTCTTCCCCCTTCACGACAGTTTCACCTTTGTCACAAATCAATATCCATTTATTTGTGGGTTTCTAAACACTCCATTCTATTGTCTGTTTGTCCATCTTTGTTCTAGTACTGCAGTGTCTTAATTACCATAGCTTTAAATTGTTAATATTTGAAAGGGTAAACCCTCAGCTTTGCTTTTCTTATTAAGGGTTACTTTGGTTCTTCTTGACTCTGCATTTCTTTTTATCTAAGTTATTTTGAGATGGGGTCTTGCTATGTTGCCCAGGCTGGTCTCGAACTCCTGGGCTCAAGTAATCCTCCCTCCTTGGCCTCTCAAAGTTCTGGGACTATAGATGTGAGCCACCAAGCCCAGCCAACCATGCATTTCCATACACACTTGAATATCATACTTCACATTTAAAAAATTCATTACATTGGGGAAGGGGGCTGGGCGTGGTGGCTCATGCCTGTAATCCCAGCACTTTGGGAGGCCGGGGTGGGCAGATCACTTGAGCTCAGGAGTTTGAGACCAGCCTGGGCAACATGATGAAACCCTGTCTCTACAAAAAATGTGAAAATTAGCCAGGATTAGTGACACTCACCTGTGGTCCCAGCTACTCCAGAGGCTGAGGTGGGAGAATCACTTGAGCCCAAGAGTCAGAGGTTCTAGTGAGCCAAGATTGTGCCACTGCACTCCGGCCTGGCTGACAGAGTGAGACCCTGTCTCAAAAATAAATAAATAAAATTGGGGAAGAGACAAAAGTTAATACAAACCTATGTAAAATAGAATTCAAAGAATATAAGGTGGTTGAGGAGTGAATAATCAGTTTCCTTCCCTCCCTGGGTCTCTCATTTTCTTTTTTCAGAGGCCACCATCCTTCCAGCAATGTCTATGCATATACAAGCACATCCCTGCTTTTTCTTTAACAAAGAGTAGCATATTGTACACGTTGTTCTGTAGCTTGTTTTTTTCCTCTTAATATATCTTGTAGACCTTGCTATTTTAGTGGTTGCCTGGGATTCTTTTATGACATCGATAATCTTTTTAACTTGGCCCAAATTAAGTTGTTTCAGTCTTTGTTCTCACTACAAGCAGTGCTGCACTGACTTTCTTGGACCTGCATTTTTGATGCACGCCATTTGTAGGCTAAATTCTTAGAACTGGACTTAGCAGTACCTCATTGTCTGGCTGCAGTATTGGGCTTCTGCATAAGATTCTCTTTGAAGTCTGAAGGCCCTAGCTTTGAGGCTCTTTGAGGACCCTTCTGTTCTGATAGTCTGTGGCTCTAAGTTGAGTCTTAGATTATGGTTATCTAATTTTGAGTTCTATTCACAGACCCCAGTCTCTTTTTGTCTCTCTAAGCTCAGATCCCATTCCTGAGACCCTGAACCCAACTTCCTCAGTCTCTAATTTAGAGATCAACTTGGCATAGTGGAAGGAACAGGGTTTGGAGTGCACAGTGATTAGGTTGTGAAGCCCAGCTCTGCCCTGTCTCCCTTCCCACTGCTCTGCTTTAGCTGGGTGGCCTTGGGCTAGACGCTTTATCTCTCTGAGCCTCTGTTCTCTTCTCTGTATGTCAAGGGGACTATATGGGAGCCAGACACTTGTCTTTAGGAGTCTTGATTTCTGATTATCCAGCTTTGATATCCAGCCTGGGTCCCTCACCTCTGTCTGGATTCTCCCATATCCACTATCTGATTCTGTCCACTTGAGCTCAGTCTTGTATGGGGCTTAAGAGTGGAGCTTTGGAATCAGACCAGCTTGTCCTTCTCAGCCGCTTACTATACTTCTCTGGACCTCAGCATCCTCATCTCTAAAACAGAAGTAATAATACCGCCCTCCCACGCTGACAGAATTGCTGTCACATAGCAAGCCCACAAGAAATGTTGGCTGCTGCTGCTATTATTAGTTTAATCTCACATTCTTGTTCCCAGTTCCACAATTTTGGATCTGGAAAGGCAGCTTGACAGAGAATCACTGACTGCCCTCCATCCCATTGCCCTACAGCTGTAGGGCTCTGTGTGGTCCTGGAGTCCACGGCCTATGACCTGGCCACATAGTAGGAGATTCTATCACTGTGTGACAAACCACCTAGAACCCAGAAACTGAAACAATAGCAGTTGCTAATTTTGCATGATTCTGTGGGTCAACTCAGTGGTTCTTTGGCTGGTCTTACCTGGGCACACTGTGGCAGCATTCAACTGGTATCCAGACTGGACTAAAAAGTGCAGAATGTCTGTGGATGCTGGCTGTTGGCTGGCATGCCTTGGTTTACTCACCCTCCAGCAGGCCAGCCTGCACTTCCTTAAATGGGGGCTGCTCTGAACGCTGAGGCTCTGAAATTCACACAGCATCACTTCTGCCATGTCCAGTTAGACAAAGTAAATCCTAAGGCCAGTCCAGACCGAGGAGTCTGGGCCCAGCAAGAAATGGACCCCATCAGCAGTACAATATTGTGGCCACGTCTGTCATGGAGCTCAGTAATTATGTGTTGAATGAATGAGAGGTGATGGAGGTCACTTGACCACTTTGAGCCTCGGTTTCCACATGTGTAAAAGGAGTCTACTCATGCCCATTTCAGTATAAGTTCGCCGTGAAGAATTAAAGTGATGTCATTGAAAGAACACACAGCACAGGTTCTCAATACACAATAACCATTGCGGATATTTTATGTTACTACTTTTTGAAAGAGTCGTGCTGTATCACCCAGGCTGGCCTGCAGTGGCACAATCTTGACTCAATGCAACCTGAGCCTCCAGGGCTCAACCTCAGCCTCTCAAGTAGCTGAGACTATAGGTGTAAGCCACCACACCCAAATAATTTTTGTTTTTGTTGTTTTTTTTATAGAGATGGGGTTTTGCTATGTTGCCTAGGCTGATCTTGAACTCCTGGGCTCAAGCCATCCACCCGCTTTGGCCTCCCAAAGTGTTAGAATCACAGGCTTGAGCTACCATGCCTGGCTCATTGTAGATACTTAAACCAAAGCTCTATCCTGGCTCTTCGCTAAGTCCTAAGTTCTTTTGTTCATTAGTCCAGAGTGACATTGTACAAACAGCCATTTATATAATAACTGTGTCCAGATACATTTCCCATTTGTTACCATCTTCACATGCCTCGTCTTTCTAGCACTTGGACCATTCTTTCTGCTTTTGTGTTTCTTTGGCACAATAGGGTCAGTAAAGTTTGCTCAGACCCGTCAGATACAAGCGTCAATGTGGCAGACTGACTGTAGGTCAGAGATTGCAAACTAGCAAGTGTGTTTGTTTTGGCCTGCAGAGCATTTAATAATAATTGGTATTAGAATTTGAATTGGTTGCTGTATTAGTTCGTTTTCAAACTGCTGTAAAGAACTGCCTGAGACTGGGTGATTTATAAAGGAAAGAGATTTAATTGACTCACAGGTTCAGCAAGGCTGAGGAGGCCTCAGGAAATTTACAATCATCGCAGAAGAGGAAGGGGAAGCAAGGCACTTACTTCACAAGGCAGCAGGAAGGAGAAGTGCTGAGTGAAGGGGGAAGAGCCTCCTATAAAACCATCATATCTCATGAGAACTCGCTATCCCAAGAAGAGCATGGGGGAAACTGCCCTTATGATTCAGTTACCTCCACCTGGTCTCTCCCTTGACATGTGGGGATTACAATTCAGGGTGAGACTTGGGTGGGGACACAAAGCCTAACCATATCAGTTGCTAACATTTATTTTATTTTAGAGACAGAGTCTTGCTCAGTTGCCCAGGCTGGAATGTGGTGGTACAGTCATAGCTCACTGCAGCCTCGAACTCAGGGGCTCAAGCAATCCTCCCACTCCAACGTCCCAAAGCACTGGGATTTCAGGCATGAGAGTTGCTAACATTTATAATCAGGAGATTTTACAAAACAATCTTAGGTTTCCAAATTCTTTTAAAATTACACCATCTGGGCTGGGCATGGTGGCTCACGCCTGTAATCCCAGCACTTTGGGAGGCCGAGGAGGGTGGATCACTTGGGACCAGGAGTTAGATACCAGCCTGGTCAACATGATGAAACCCCATCTCTGAAAAAAAAAAAAAAAGCCAGGCATTGTGGCAGGTACCTGTAATCTAAGCTACTTGGGAGGCTAAGGCAGAGGAATCACTTAAACCCAGGAGGCAGAGGTTGCAGTGAGCCGAGATGATACCACTGCACTCCAGCCTGGGCAACAGAGAACAAAACCTCATCTCAAAAAGAAAGAAAACAGTCGTACCATCTGTCATCTTTGGCCTGCCTCCCTCATGGGGCATTGGGCTGGAGCTAAACCCTGGTGAGGGATACCCTCTTTAACCCATTGGTGGCTTATGAAGTTGGTTGGGTGAGTCATTACCAGCCATGTGAAAAGATGAAGTGTAGCAGAATAGAAAATATCAGAATGTATTGCCCATAGTCACTAGGGCAAGGACTGTTCTGTGGAATGAAGTCTAGTTATGTGTGTTCATGTGTGGGTTGCAGAGTAAAATGTATCTTTTACTGTGGGTTGTAATAAGAAATCTGAAAGCCCCTAATCCACTTTGGCACAAGCTCTATCCAGTCTGACTCACTCTGAAGTTACCACCTCCCTCGTAGGCATTTGAGATTGGGACCAATGAACGTCAGGTTGGCTGCTGGAGATTAAAATGGCTCCCTGCAATCTGCTAGGGGCTGGCAGCACCCATGTGCTTTTCCCCTGGCTTTCAGGTCTGTTCCTCACTCTGAGAATTTGTAAGTGAGAAATGTGTACTATGAATAAATCATGCCTGCTCAGCCAGCAGATTCCTGCTCTACCTGCCTGGTCCAAGTTCCAGGACCCCCAACCCAGCCCCCAGACCAGTCTCTGACCCCTGCTCTCTTCTGCCCACCCAGGAGAACCCATACGTCATGCGCCGGCCCAACTTCCAGGCCCTGTCGGGGAACGAGCGCTTCGAGGGCTTCTGCGTGGACATGCTGCGGGAGCTGGCTGAGCTGCTGCGCTTCCGCTACCGCCTGCGGTTGGTGGAGGACGGGCTGTACGGGGCACCTGAGCCCAATGGTTCCTGGACAGGCATGGTTGGCGAGCTCATCAACCGGGTACAGCTGGGCTGGGGCTGGGGCTGGGGCTGGGGCTGGGGCTGGGGAGGGGGCATAGACCCAGTGAATGAGGGAGGGCAGGCAGCCAGGCAGCCAGTCAAGTCTTAGGAGCAGCCTGGCTGGTGGCACACCACCTCACTGATGTTGCACTGTGTGCCTGTGCCTGGCATGTGCCATGGGACAGGACGGGGGAGGAGAGGTGGTGCATGCATCTCCCCCTGTGTCCTGCTTTGCCAGATGCCCCTTTCATGCCACCTTGGATTAGTCGGTGTGTAAAGATTTGTTAAGTGAATGAAGACATGGAGTGGGGAGCAGGAAAATGCCTGAGGTGACCAAAGCCTTCTTGTAGGAGGCAGGGCTGAGAGCAGGGTGTACACCTCACCTGTATGCTATGCCCAGCACCTGCCAGGGAGTCTGACATGTCCTGGATCTGGAGGGCTGCATATAGAACTCACACATGCACTCATTCAGCGGGTGTTTATTGATCACCTACTGTGTGCCTTGCCTCTTGCTGGGCATGGGATTCCACTGTGAGCACAGTGGATCTGGACCGTGGCCCCAAGAGCTCAGAGTCTCTTTGGGGTGCAAGACAGCACATGACCACAGCACGCCATCTGGGCTGTGATGGGGGAGCTCAGAGTTGGGGGCCCAGAGGAAGTTCCTGACCCAGTCAGACATCCCAGGAGGGCTTCCCAAAAGAGATGATATCCAAACCAATTACCAGAGGGCATAAAGGAATCAGCAAGGTGAAGGGGGTGTGGGAGAAGGGAAGTGTATTTGGAGCAGGGGAAATAGCATCTGCAAAGATGGGGTGATACGAGGGAGTGGGGTGCACTGGAGGAGCCAGTGAGGCCTGAGCATGGGCAGGATTTGGTTGCAAGTGAAGAGGGTTGGAAGGCAGAGCCATGGGAGGTGGCAGGCAAGGGTGCAGTGGAAAGGATCTTTGGGCATCAGAGCATCCTGGATTTGAATCCTTAGGTGTCATTTCTCTTCTCTGAACCTGAGTTTTCCCTTTCCTAAGATGGGGATAATAATACCTTACAGGTCTGTAGTGAGAGTTACGAGAAATAGGGACAAGTACCTCACACATTGCTTGGCAGAGTGGGGAACTGAAATGTGGTTTCTCTTTTTATTCCAAGTGGGAGAAACTATGGGCACAACTGCCCAGAGGCAGGACTGTGCCTTGGGAAGCAAGTAGATCCTCAGTTAGACACACCCAGAGCTGGTGTGCAGAGCAGCCAGGGCAGCCTTAACATTAGACTAGACTAAGCTCATCAGAGATTTTCACCCTCCTCTCTTTCTCATATCAGAATTTCCAGCATCCAACCCCCTGAACCCCCTGAACATCACCAGGGAAGACACGAGAAGGCCACTTTGCTTGACAAGGATGTTTATCACTTAGGGCGCTGACTTTCAAAAGTTATTTTGAGAACAGAACTTTTTTTCCAATTGAAATCTCCTTCAGAACCTTGGGCAAGAGCAGAGCTGCTCTGGTGGAGGTGGAGATGACTCCATAGGCAAGCCCCGAGGTACTGCCCCATAAAGCTGCCAGCTAATTTGAAAACTTCTGCCCCAGGGTGAGTTTTAAGGTCAGGGCAAATTTTATTATTATTATTTTTATTTTATTTTATTTTTCTGGAGTCAGAGTCTCTTCTGTTGCCCAGGCTAGAGTGCAGTGGCACGATCTCTGCCCACAGCAACCTCTGCCTCCCTTTAACCTCTGCCTCCCGGGTTTAAGTGATTCTCCTGTCTTGGCCTCCTGAGTAGCTGGGATTACAGGTGCGCCACCATACCTAGCTGATTTTTATATTTTTTTGAGCAATAGGGTTTCGTTATGTTGGCCAGGCTGGTCTTGAACCCCTGGCCTCGAGTGATCTGCCCGCCTCACCTCCCAGAGTGCTAGGATCACAGGTATGAGTCACTGCATCCAGCCCGAAGCCCAGAGGCCCCTGGTGAGACAGGAGATGAGGAGTCACAGAGCTGACAGCTCTGTGCTCACCTGAGGGCACAGGCTTCTCCTGACTTGTTTCCACAGCCTGGTCTTTAGTCGTAGGATCAGAAATTTTCTTTAATCTGATATCCCAGAAATAAGCAGGCTCCAAGGGAGTAACCCTGCACCTGAAGTCACTCAAAAGTGATTGCCCTTTTTTCACCAGCAGAGAAGTTTGGAACAGTCCTTATTTTACAGTTGTCTGACCTTTGTGTCTCAGGGTCCACTCAGTAGGGTCGCGTGAGAGGATCTGGGGCCTGGGGCCAGCAAAGTGTAGCAGCTGGGAGTGTCTGTGGTTGGCTACGATTGTCGATTGTCGTCCTAAGTCCTGTTTGAATCTTAGCTCTGCTGTGTACTGGTTCTATGGCCTTGGACAAGAGCTTAATGTTTCTTTAGGTTATAGTTTGTTCAACTGTAAAATTGGGGAATAACAGCCCTATAGCACACAGGGTTGTTGTGAAGAACAACATGCAATGAAGAACAGGGCCTGGTGCATTACAGGTGCTGTATGTGTGTCCTTTGTTTTTCCCTTTGAGACTGGGTCTCAGTCTGTCACCCAGGCTGGAGCATAGTAGTGTGATCACGGCTTACTGCAGCCTCAACCTCCTGGACTCACGTAGTTGGGACTATAGGCATATGCCACCATGCCCAGCTAATTTTTGTGGTTTTTTTAATAGAGATGGGGTCTGGCCATGTTGCCCAAGCTGGTCTTGAACTCCTGGGCTTAAGTAATCCTCCTACCTCAGCCTCCCAAAGTGCTGGGATTACACTATTTTTATTATTTTTATTGTTTTTATTGTTATTCATACCAACATGGCCAGCACATACATTTGTGTATTCATCCATTTTCCATTCAGCCAGTATTTGTTGAGTGTCTACTGTATAACAAACCCTGTGCCATACCCTGGGGATACCGTGGTAAACAAGCCTGATGTACTCTTACTGAGCTGGCTAAAAGGTTTGGGCCTCAGCAGAAGGCCCATGGGATGCCCTTGAAGGTTTTTGTTTTTGTTTTTGAGATGGAGTCTCGCTTTGCTGCCCAGGCAGATTGGAGTGCTATGGCGTGATCTCGGCTCACTGCAACCTCTCCCTTCCGGGTTCAAATGATTCTCCTGCCTCAGCCTCCTGAGTAGCGGGGACTACAGACACGCACCACCACACCCAGCATTTTTGTATTTTTAGTAGAGATGGGGTTTTGCCATGTTAGCCAGGCTGGTCTCGAATTCCTGAACTCAGGTGATCTGCCTGCCTTGGCCTTCCAGAGTGCTGGGATTACAGGTATGAGCCACCAAGCCCAGCCGCCCTTGAAGGGTTTTGATCTGGCTCAAGTGAATTGGCTCCGGTGTTGGGGGAAGAAGTGGTAACAGGAAGACCAGTGAGGAGATAAGGAGTGAGCTGGCGGGCCTCAGGTGGGAGAACATCAGAACTAGAGGCTAGGGGAAAGGCTAAAGAGAACCAGGGCTTGGTGACTGCCTGGGGTGGGGGATACAGGAGAGGACACGAGGGAGAGCATTTGTGTCTGGCTTGGGCAGCTGGGTGATGTGTCTGGCTTGGGCAGCTGGGTGATGGCGATGACATTTACCAGGAGAACACTGGAGGAGGAGATGGCTGGAGCATGAAGGGTAGGCGGGGCTTAGCCTTGCCCCACCGTGGGATAGCTGGGTGAGCCAAGCTTCATGGGAATAGTCACCACCATCATCACAACAGCAGCAGCTGTCATTTGTTGATTTTACACCATGTGCAAGGAGCTTTTCAAGTGTTACTTAACATAATTCTCGTAACAGTCCTTCATGGCCCGAGGATCACTGCCCAGTGTGGGATCTGGACTCCCTGAAGCACGGGGCTACAGCCAGGTGTGTCTGACTTAAGGCCTGTGCCCTTTTCAGCCCTCCAGCCGGGAGTTTGGGAAACCAGGAGTACACTGACGGAGTGGCACGCTGTGCCGGGTCCTATTCAAGCTTTCTGACTTGTCTCCATTCTTGACTGCTTGTGGCCACCCAATGAGGAGAGGACTGGTATTAGCCCAATTTTCTCAAATACACAGTGAGGCACCAAGGTTTCATGTCCAGGCCACATGGCTAGTGACCAGGAGAACCAAGGTGGGCATCCCACAGGGAGGCCCAAAGCTAGGGAGTGACTTCTAGATGGGAGACAGCCTGGGGCACCAGCATCGCTCCAGTCACCCCTGGGCCAGGCACAGGGCTCCTTGGCCAGTCTTGAATTATGACCCATTTATTCCACCCAGTGGCCATGGCTGGCATTGGCCTTCTCCCTGCCATCACTGCCATGGTGTGAATTCAGCTCCCATCCCTCTTGTCAGCCTGCTCATTGGCCTCTTGGCTTCGAGTCTCTCCACTCCCCAGCTTGTCCTTCAGTAGAACCTTTCTACAGTGTGAGTCTGAGCTGTCACTTGTATGCTTTAACTGAAGCCCCTGAGGCCCTCAGGATAAAGTTTAGCCTTCAAGGGCAAAGAAGATACCTTAGGTCAAGGTCACAGGAAGCTAACTCTGAGACAGGGATGTACAGACAGGAGGTGTGATGGTGTGCCCCTGGAAACCCACCTCGCTGGGAGGGAAGGAAGCAGACTTGGGCAGAGGAGTTGAGCTGTGCTGCAGTCACAACTGGGCCTTAGCCATCCCACGGGCAGCTCTGGAGCTGGGCTAGCCATCAAGGATTGCCCCCTGTGGCAGCCAGGACATAAGCTGCTCTTGGTGAGAGTCAGGACTTTGAGGGAAGGGTCGTTCTTCCATTGACAGAGCTGAGAGCTATCAGCCACCTTTACCCTGGGTAGCTGAGGCAGTGAGTGCCCCTCTCCTGAAACAGAGTCTGGGTGGCCACCATGGTATCCAATATAGCAGTGCACTGGTTAGGAGCCAGAAGGAGCCGGCTTCAGGTCCCCAGTGCTCCCACATGATCCCTGGCAAGCCACTTATCTCTCTGAACCTCAGTCACTTCTCTTGAAATGGGGCTAATGTTACTTTCCTCACTGAGGTGTTTTTTTTTTTTTTTT